CGTTCAGATTGTACATTTTTCTCTTAGCAAGCAGTCTGCAAACATCTGTCAAATTTCGCTGTTTCTGAGTTCCTAGGCGCAACATCGCTGAACTTACAAGGGAAGTCACTTAACTTAGGTAGGGCCTTTTGAAATGAGACACATATGTTTAGAATCAGCTCGGAACGCTGATTCCAAATATGCTGTCCTTAGCTGCAAAGCTTTTCTCTGAAGCGAGTTATGAGCTTTTTAACATGTGTGACATACAACTAAATATAGAAAAAAGGCCTGTGGACGGAATCTGCTCCAAAAAAAAAATGGTGGAAAATCGAAATAACATCAAAATGAGTCATTTAGCCTTGATAGAGTGTATTAGGCATTTGAACCACTACCTAGATGATAATATCGTGGCATCTGTAAGGCGGTCAACACGCAAGCTTTGCTCAGGAAAAAACTCATAACTCGCTTCAGAGGAACGCTTCGCAGCTAAGGACAGCATATTTGGAATCAGCGTTCCGAGCTGATTCTAAACTTATGTGCATCATTTCAAAAAGCCGACCTAAGTTAAGTAACTTCCATTGTTAGTCGCAATGTTGATGACTACATATTGTTTTCGAAGCAGATTGCTTGCGTGCAAAGCCGGACTTTTGAGACGACATAGAAGCTTCACTTATGAAAATCTCCAATTTTTATACCTTTTGACTCGGCGACACAATCAGCCGAACTGCATAACCAAGGGCCAATGAATCAAGTAAATGAGTTGAGATATCAGCTCAACAAGGATTATCAAAACGAAAAATCTTTTCTGTAGAATAAGCAGATTCGGAGTTATCACTTAAGAATGGCCACGTGAGTGCTATACTCAGTGTAAGCACATTGAACAGCTTTTTTTTACTTAGGTTGAAAAACCAGAAACTAAAAACTTGTAATAAACAACATGTAATTGTTTCCACTATTACGAAAACAAAGTGTCAGAAGAATGATGAGCAGCACGTTATTCTCTGATTTTCACATTAATTGCTGTTGTTTTTCCAACATCTCATATCTTCACCAAAATTCGCACTGACATTGGCCGTTGAAATAGAAGTTTGGTCTTGATGAAATTTGGGTGTACAGACAACGTTAAATCTGCGTTCTAAAAGTTGCAGGTGTAACTTACAGATACTACTCTACAGCATCTCCGCAGCAAATCCAAGTAGTTTGAGCCAAATGTCACTGTGCAATATGGTTGCAAGAGCTTTTTATAAACGTAATTCTAGAGGAAGCTGCTAAACAGTTTACGAGACGACTAAAGAACAAAAAGGACTTCTGAGCCACGCATAAGCTTTATGTACTTATTGATATGAGAGCTCTACAATGCTTACGCGTCTCTATCCTTTGGAGGAAACAAATTAAGCAGATAAGCAAATAAAAATCAAATGCCTTGTGAGCACCGGAATAGCACAGATGGTGTTTGCAGCTAGGATTTCATCGAAACGACGAGACACATTGCTAGAAGACGGTATATAATACGAATATTCAGTTGGAGAACAACTATAGGACCGAACTACATGGAAAATTGTTAAACTTGAAAGAGAATAGCCATTGCATTGGTATCGGTGAAAAGTTGAGGATGACCAGCAAAAACGCTCGCGGAAAGCTTCGCCATATCTGATATTGATCGGTTACGCGCGGCAGTGATCTTCGATGTTCACAGAACATCTACAGCAATCGAGAAATTGCAAGAGCCAGAACCGGTGTTGGGGCCAGAATATATCCTGATTAGGGGGAGAAACATGTCAGGCGCTCAAAGAAATTTCTGCCAATAACTGGAGAAGATACATTCGTCTTCCGTAAGCGCGAGCTCCATGACATCTGGCCGTCGTTGACCTATCGATTCCATACACAGTAGCCACTCTCAAATGAGCGGAGAAATTGATTGTTGAAGACGCGATGTAAAAAAGGGAAGGGGAAGTACTTAATCGGATCGTGACGTCGAAATCATTAATCTCTGTCGATGTTCAACACACTGTGACGCTCTCGACATTGGAAGCGAGTCGAAGGCAAAGGGATGCTGGGTGCGGTTCACAAACGCTTATTACGGCTGCAGCATGCTGGAGATGATGATGTGACAACTACATGAATTCTGCTCCTCCTGCATAATCACACTTCTCTCAACAGGCTATTTCAACCTCATTTTCGGACCATCCAGTCCAACAATGGCATTGGCAAGATAATAGCGGTGTTATTGTTGAATAACTAGACGATTACGGTTGAAGGTGGCAGCGCGGAAGTAATGTATAGTGAAGGTGAGGTCTGCTAGATTGCCTTTCCGAAAAGTGCTCCACATGTGATCCCCAGACAGAGAGTGATGAACTGCTATGGGGTGAAGTGTTTTGTGAAGATTTATGGGTGTGACACGAAAAAACCAGTCTGTTCCTAAAAGAATCAGCTCAATGATCACTACTGCTGGCTGAGAAAATCTGAATCAGGAAACTGCTAGTATTGTAACACGCTTTGTTGAATTTAGAGGAAGTGTAGAGGAATCGAATAGCCAAGTGTCAAAAGAGATGCCCGCGGCATTCACTATGCATCAGCCGGACGACAAGAGAAGTTCCGAGAAATGCAGAGAAAAAACATTTAGCACGGTCGGTCATGAAAAGGCAGATAGCTGATCACGTTCTCAATGAATGATCAACACGTCCCTTATTTCTTGAAACGCAAACTTCTCCAGTTTGCTTGGAATTGTAACTAAATCATTGGGTTGACTAATAACTCTCTGATTTTACCAGAATCTTCACTTTCCTATATTTTTCCTTTATTTATGGGTTACCATTCGACAAAGCAGAGCAAGCTCTGTGAGATGGCTAAAAGCGTCCGCCTAAATCGTATTCCACTTGGAGTATGAAGCAAATCTAATAGTATTCGAGATGAAATTCAATGTTAAAGATAGAGTTCTCCCAGAACATCCTGAAATTCCCCATCCATCTTAAGCATATACCTGACCCATTGGACATTCAACTACACTTTGGCGTTCCTTCCGTGGTTAGCAATGAAGAAAAAATCGTGGAAGTAAAATGGCGAATTCCGCTTCTAGAGGTCCCGGTTCCTCTCACATTAATTATCTAGTATATTATACATACATTCAGAAGTGCGGTCATAGATTTGTAATCCCGCCGGTGTTATGGTTCTCAGAAAATATTGATTTCAGAGTTTTTGGAAGAAAATTATGAGACAACCTAATAATGGACCTAGAGGTTGAGTTCGCCATTATGCATTAGCTAAGATCTTCATAGACGCGAGTGTCAAAGACCGGCAAAAGAACTGGAAAAGACGAATTTGTAGCAAGGAAGGTCAGGATGCATGTGCTGTCCATCTGATTAGCGAAGGTCTCATCAAACACGATCTGCGGATGAACTGTATCATTTACACGTGGGAATTATCTTATCTCCATCATAATGAAATGACATCATGTTAAAAATCCCAAGAATAATGACTAAGTTAGTCAAGTCTGTGGACATATAGAAGTTGATTGTAACAAAATTTTTCTTTTTTGCCATGGTATCCTACAAAAATTCCTATATTTTCGAGTGCCATTCTTGCCGCTTCAGCGGGGTCGTCAAGGGGCTTTTGAGTCAAAGTTTCTTAAGATTTCCCCTAGATTTCATAATAACCTAACCGTAAAAAGCTCTAAATTTTATTTTATCTGTTCTAGTATTATTAGACAATCAACTTTGTATTAGGCAGGTGAAAGAGAAGTAGTATTTGCTCACTCATCTAACAGTAAGTTACAGATCACTACCATGGAACGTATAGATCCAAGTACGAAACAAACCAGCAATCTAGGGTACTCAGATATTCCGAAAACTTGATTCCAACCTCCGCAATATGTGGTAGAATTATCTGGCTTCGGTCAGCAAGAAAGGAGACGAAGACGACATTGGCAGGGATGTCGAATCGCATTTCTCTACAGAATTATGTTAGCCATATAAGACTGCAAGAGATTTTACAAGCCAGTCATAAAAAAACCCTGCGTCGAGGCGATTTTACATCTTTACTGTAGTGTTGTATACTGTAGAAAAACTGAAAAAACCAGATTTTTGAAGTCTTCTAAGCAAATTTAGTACACATATCTGGGTGTTTTAAATTACTGTATATGATGCACACTATACTCGCTTCAGAAAACACTTTAGAAGATTCTCGATGTGCTTATTTTGTGACAAATCCATAACAGGCCGAGGTTTTAGATTAAATTCGAAACGACTTAGTTCAGTGCCAGTGTTTTAGTGCTTTGCCTAACCCGAAACGCTGTTGAAAATACAACCACTTTAGCACTTAAACTTTGTTACAGGTCTCTCGAATTAATAGTGTCATATGCGAACAAATAGTTCATAGAACGTGTTTAAGATTTCTCGCCCATTTGATGACACTCGCAAGTGATTACAAACAAGAAGAAAAAAATTAGAGGCAAGAACAAACATAGCAACAGCCATCCATCACACTACTATCGCCATTTACACGAGATTCATAGAAGGTTCGAGAATTAAGTGCAGCGATTGGGTGTGCCATGCGACGAAGAGGTTATTGTGAGATCTAAGAGATGACCGCACCTTATGTATGCGATAAATCTCAAATAACGTCTTGCCTTATCAAGTGACTCGCAAATAAACAGATCTAGTACTATTACGAGCAACTACCATGTATCTAATCAGAATTCTCCATTATCGTAGGTCATCATCATTCTGTTTGTTTTTCTTTGTTTTCGTACGAATGATGAACGATCTACACCGTGATTACCATTACTCCTGAATTTTTTTCCCATTTCCATCTGCCTCTTTCAATGTTTCACTACAAATTGGACCTTCTTATTTTCTGTACAAATGATAGATGATTTGTTCGCGTGATTGATTGCCATTACTTCCTTGAATGATACTGTTTTGCCTGCTACCATTGAAAACCAACCTCTACCAATCTGCTTGTTATCAGACAGATTTTGTCCACACTTTATGGTATTAAATGTCAACTTAGCATTTTCTAACCAAGCCTGCAAGTTTTCTATAAAAAATTTTTCAACCATGTCAACAAATGATACAACAAACGAATCGTGCTTACTCGTAGGAAACCAATTGCGTGAAAAAAAACCTGAGTATCACCAACAAAACTTCTGACATTTAACAAGTTTCAAAGAGACTACTTGTTAAAGGTGAAACAAAGAAATGCATGCATTACTGGATAAATGCAAGAAGTTAATGATATGCACAATGAAATGACAAAGTAAAGTTGCAAAGAAAAGTTTCAAAATTTGATACCGAGCGTGTTGATCGTAGCCATAACTATTGCAAAGGCAGCCCAAAGCATTATTGCGAAAGGCCAGTAATTAGATTGGAAAGGACTTGCGAATTTTTTGGGTACTGGAAAGTTCAGCACACTTTTGGCGTGTATTCGAGCTTGCACTACCAACAGGCATGGAATCAAAAACTGTACACCAACACCTAAAAGATGAATTTCTGAGAAATGAGGCAAGAAGAATAACAGAGTTATTGAAGAAATTTGCTGAATGGGTAAGCTTGCCAGCATATTTACCTGGGTATGATCCTGTGATGGTGGCTAGCATCAGAACGTTGTCAGTCATTAAACTGATTATTGTAGGAAGGCCAATGACAAAAATTGGGATAATGAAGTCTGATACCTAAACTATCCCTTATCAACGAGAATGTCACACTAACAGAATTCTCAACTACCTTATGATGATTACTACTTCTTCGTCGGCGATCAACTTCTTCATCATCTTCCAAGAGCGACTCTTGTTCAGAAGATCTGCAAGAAGTGATATTTCTCTGCGAGCAAAGCAAATCAAGAAACTTACGATGATGACTCAGCGGGAGATACTAAATCGCGCAATACCCGAACATTATTAATTAGAGTGGTAGCCACAATAGGATAATTAGTCGTTAGTGTAAATACAGGAAATAATGCCAGAAAGTGATCACAAATGAAGTAAAACGCAGAGGTGAGGTCATCGTGGAGGAAATTGAGAGTGTAGACGTCCTGTAATCAGGATTTACAGCAGGATGAAAACGATCAGAGGTTTCCGTACCTGCACATGGGCAAATGCAAATGAACCAGTGACAGAAAGGGTGAAGTAAAATGAAAGTATCAACAGATAAACACAGAAAAGCTTTCCATAAATACCGGATTTCGAACTAGAAAACAACATTAAGGTTCGAAATGTAGGAAACGCGGTTGCAGTGTCGTTACCTCATCGGTGTGATAAGTGAAGGAATACTGTGGTGGCACATGAACGCATAGACAGCAACACCAAAGAGAGAACCGAAACCATGAATGTTAGCCACAGGAGGATTCCCCGCCGTACCGTTGGCAAGCATTTGTGCCGAAGCAAGGAAAATCATGAGGATGAATGCTGAATACCGATACTGTTGAACGGCAAAGCACAATCTCTAAGGTTGCTTTGTTGCGTTGAAGTGTATCGCTTCATGCAACATGGCGTTTTTGATGGCGAACAAGTATAACGACTGTGCAGCGTACCTGACCATCTCGACAACGTTGTTGCCAGTTGTAAATATTTGGTTTTGGTGATACCAATAACCACCATAGGGATACACACCGATACGAATAGAAAAACGCACAAACGATAAACTAAAACATAACAGGACTCTCCAGCAGCATTATAGGGTAGTATGATACCTGTTAGACGATCAAGCTGTATAGGCCAAGAGCCATGACATGGATCTGACGACAATACTGTAGATGTATTTACACCCGAGCTAAAAAGAATAAGAAAGGCAGCTTTTCAAAAGGAATCTCTTCATACCAAATCATATTCATCATGGATTTAGATACGGTGGTCGAGTAAATTGCGAGATCACCAAAAAGGTAGATATCCAGTGCTAGATAGCTAAAGATAACTCCGCCACGACCGAGAAACATTGATGCCATCTGACTCTAAACAAGGATTTAAATCTGATGAGATAATGCAGATAAAATAAAAGGTGAAGTAAAAGCCAAGCAAAAGTGAGTAAAAAAAACTAACGACTTCAATTTTCTCGCTAATTTCAAACGATGAGGGTCCACTTTCAGTGACGATGACATCTAAAAACACTAGAATAAAATTTGTCAAAGGAGATTGGTCCTATTCTTCGGACATGTGACTCTAGTGTCACATGAATGATAGGCTACGATGGTAAGCTGTTACAAAATGCGTAAAAAAAGCTAAGACTACAAAAGTGGTCTTCCCTTAAATTCAGAATACCAATGTCTCAAACAGACTAAAGTCTACAAAGGAAAACTCTTTGGATGATGCTCACGAACATATCGACTACACATGCTCTTTAGTGGTTTACAGTAGACCGGAAACTCAAAATAATTATTTGCACTACACTTGAATGAGGAGCACAGTCGTCTAGATCACTCCATCGGGAAGATTCAAGCAAAATTTCAATCTCGATTCTTCATCTACAGTGCGCCTACTATGAAACAAAAAAGTAATCCTGGTGGGTAACGTTTCCAACGTCATCAAAAGTCGATGATTCAATTATACAAACGCCTAGTCAGATATAGTACTCTTGGTTTAGGGTACCTACTGCAGCAATCCGAAAAAGTAAGGACTGACGACGTAGGATGAAAAAGCTTTCAACGTACAATACTGCACATGCCTACGAAAATTTGCAGAATCCAAAATCATAATCACAACATACCGTCATACTCCGAAGTAGGCTCCGCTTCCTGTCTTCGCCTTCGTACATGAACTGCATTCCCTACAGATAGAGATTCGACCACAAAAGTTGCAGCTATATAGCTAAAAGGTGATACATACACCGCCCATCCTGGACAACACGATTTCCTTACCTAACCAAACCAGATATCAAGAGGACTAGTATACTAAGTACATAGCCTGCCGTCTGAAATGCTTTAGGCAACGCAAGGGCGCCTGTACCGACGATGAGATTGAAGATGTAAAGAAGTCCGACCTAAAATACGGTTTAGTTATGCATTTGGACAAGCTCACAAGTAAGTGACCGTTGGACTATACTGCGTTGTTTGGACACTGCCGGCTGGCATATTTGTGCGGAAACCGTGAGTAGATAGCGAAGGCGTAAGAGAGGCTCTTCCCTTTCACTTATCGCATCTATGAAGTGAAGTGTTATCTAAAATTAAGAGAACGAATGATACCAAAGCAATGGTGTTTGTGAAAGTGAGCAGGGTATATTTGTATGCGAAGAAAGCAAAATCAGCCGAGAAGCGATGAATACTAAAAATTTAGCAGAGACAGAGAATACCGATACGAAGAACTTCTTTACCATAGTATTTTGGAGTAACGAAGTTGTGCAAAACAACGTAAAGATCAACGAACCGTTAGACCGAGGACGCAGACGGGAACTTTCCGACACTTACGCGCAATTAGCGAACGAAACTGATGATTATAAGCAAGTGTTACAATATTGGCCAACGCTGCCGAAGCTCATAATCATGCAAAGTAGCTTCTAATGCGACTTAGTTAACGTTTGTTTGAGAAGCATGCATATTTGAATCCGCGTGTCTGAACGCAGCTTCCTCAGCTCATAAAACACCAAGGGATGGAACGGAGTGGAAAACGAGCTCGCAGACACGACACATCCGATTGGTCTGCGTAATAATTACGTGGCGGATTTCATCATTAAAAGTCCAATGAATTCTGACGTTTCAGCTTTGGACATCTGGGTGCCTTCATACCGCGCCGGCAGCCGCCGCTAGCAGCCCGTAGCAGCCGCCAGCAGCCGCCAGCAGCCCGTAGCAGCCGCCAGCAGCCCGCAGCAGCCGCCAGCAGCCCGTGGCAGCCCATAGCCGCCGCTGGCCGCCTTTGTTATAGGAGCAAAATCATCAAAATCTTACTACTTTAAGTGCTCCTGCCTACGCTTTCCATCTCCTACGCTTATTTCTTCTTCTTATTGCTAATATGCAGTTCAACTCCCCACAATACATTTGTGTTCATTGTTCTGTTCCGCACATTGTCTCCTATCGCGCTTACATTCTTTTGCAATCTGTCTTATTTAAAAAGATGTGAGCGATTATCAAATAAGAAGAACTCAACCCGCAAATGAATCCCGGCGAACTTGCGAGATAGTAGAATGCAAGTTACATATGCACCGATAGCCAAGAAAAAAATTAAAGCAAAAGCATACTCAAAAAACAAATTGCACACCTGCTGGAACCCGACGCATCCAAAGTCAGAGCGAATTACACCGAAAAGAACCTTCTACCAACTATGGTGCAACAGGATGAACGACGAGAAGGTAATGACAGCAGTGGGCACATATATGATATATGGTCAAACTGCGTACTAGCGGCAGCAAAAGAAAAGCGTAGAAGATAAAAAGCGTAGACAGGAGCACTCAAAGTAGTAAGATTTTGATGATTTTGCTCCTATAACAAAGGCGGCCAGCGGCGGCTATGGGCTGCCACGGGCTGCTGGCGGCTGCTACGGGCTGCTGGCGGCTGCTACGGGCTGCTAGCGGCTGCTGGCGGCTGCTACGGGCTGCCACGGGCTGCTACGGGCTGCCAGCGGCGGCTGCCGGCGCGGTATGAAGGCACCCTCTGGTGACTGAGTGATGGAACAGATGAACGTAGTCAGACGTCTACTCTACGCCATTAATCTTACGTTCGGCGAAGCAGCAGCAGCTGGTGATGCGGTTAGTATGTCCGCAACGCCTCACAGCTTGCGCATTCAGTCAATGCATTGTCGGGCCAAGCAGTCCCTCCCCCCTCTCGCTCTCTCTTTGCCGACCTCCAAACATCCTTGGTCAATCTCACAACTCGTTGACATCGCACTATCCGAACTAGTCGAGCATCCATGTGCTCACTCTCTAAAATGTAGGAATGTTGCTATATTCGTCCTCATTCAAAATACTCGCTGTAACTCATGATCCGAACACAACTACACTTTTACGAACATCGCCTTCAGCTTTGGCTGTGTTTGTTAACCTTCAAGGTCACATATTTATGCAATGTGCGTTCACTCCATTTATGTCTAGCGCTGAACTTTCAAATGTTTCCACAGACAAAAGCACTTTTCCAATCATTTTCAGACTATGAGATGCAAGAACTGTTTTTCACCTCATGTGAAATAGTAAGACATCAAGGTGGTAAATTCTTTTAACTTGTCTCTTCTCTATAAGAAAAAAAACGATGGATAAGCTCTATACTCGAGAACTCTAGTCACTGAACATTCCTCATCGCAAGTTAATCGAATCAGACGTTCCGAGTAAGTACGTGACCGACATTCTTGAAACATCTGATTTGCTGTAGCCTTATTTTTTGACAGTCGTTTGTAATGCCTGCATCGCTGTACAGTCGAATCATTTTATATGATCATATATGTGCATTGCACACACCGGTTTTTAACTTCCTCATCCTAGATTTGCAATCGCGAAAACGCAAGAGATTGACGGTTTGTTAGCGCTTACGCCATTTTGTGGTGGTTAGTACCTGAAAAGGAAACAAAACACCAAGAATACATCAAATTCTCACCTAAAGAGTTGTCTGTGCCAAGAATTCAGGATGGGCATGCCAAAAATGGACAATGTGTGCAGTGACACGCATGATCATATAGAATGAATTGACTGTACATTCACATTCTATACCTAGAGCATCGCGTTGATGGGAAAAACTTTCGCGATGTTGCGTTATTGCTTTTTCTTACTCTGATTTTCCGAATTCTAGGCTTATTCACAATATAGCAGGCCAAGATGAACAGACGAAAATTTTGCGTAGATCGATGATGTTGAGACGTCAGGATAATCGAGCCAACAGTTTCATCTTCACCCGGAAGCTGGTCATATTTGTATTTGTTGTATTGTCCGCTCCTGCCGTCTACCTTATCATTGGTAACGACTTAGTCATAACCAACATATCAGAACTAATAATGTTTTGGTTCAGGATCATCCAACCAGTATCAGTACTCGGACTACACTTCTTCTGCGTGAGTAAATCATCTCTTCTCTGGTATCCGCTAAAACCGGAAAGAAATTTCCAGGTCCTCCGACAGATTTATCGGCGATCTACCTCACAATAATGTCAAAAACGAGACTCCAGTCATTTCGGATAGTCTTGCAGATGGATCACCTATGGAAGCCGAGTTAACATGGGATACCTCTTTCACTCATCTAATGAGCAGTCCGGAGAATGGGTAACGTATTAGGTTTACCCATCTCCAAAGCAAGGCATTGTTTTTCGTTCCAGTTTCTCAATTGCCGGCAATGATGTTCTTGTTTTTGTTCACATCCAAAAGACCGCTGGTACGTCCTTTGAGAAGTTCCTTGTGCGGCATCTAAAAACAGAGCACCCATGTCAGTGTATCAAAGGCAAGAAGAGATGTACATGCAGCAGACCGGGTAGAACAAATGAGGTTAACCCATTATTATTATTATTTCATTGGAGCTCTTTTCTCATCGATCATTGCTGCTGAAAGTTTCCAAACTTCCTTTCCTACCTTCTTTGTATTAGTTTTGAAAATTTGTGACTGTAGTTTAGCTGTTATTAATTTATGCAAATCCAGAGGTGTTTTTGAACACACTGACATTCGCGGTCATTATTTGACCAAGCAGGGTCGAAATTGCAGTTTTGGAGTTCTCTTTCATCTGATACCCCTGACGGCAAACTAGACATACTTCGTTGTGTCTTAGTTCGTACAGTAAGAGCGTGATCGAGTTCCAAATCGTATTGTTGTGCTGTCCTCTTAGGCTCAAAACTGTGCTACAGGTGTGGCTATTCTCACGGTACTCGACCGGTTGGCTGTGCGGGTTACATGCGGACTTCACGGAATTATATGTAAGCGGATGTGTGGACAATATGTTAAATAAAAAAGAAGGTGAGCCTTTTTTAATTTCTCGTTGTACTAAAGCGTCTAATCGCATTTGTAGGTGCTAGAAGAGTGCGAAGGTACTTCTACACCACCTTTCTTCGTGAACCTGTTGCTCGTTTCATTTCTGAATATCGTCATGTAAATCGCGGCGCAACTTGGATTGCTTCAAGGTAGTGATTATCAAGCGGCAATACTTGTTAACCAAGCTACCTATATGATCGCGTCTCAGCAAAAGTATCACGTTTAGACATATATGCAACGGTCGGGCCCCCACGTCTGATGAGTTACCATTATGTTTTGATCCACACCTTGGCTGGGATGATGTTAGTTTGGATGAATTTTTGCACTGTCCCTTCAATCTGGCATTCAATAGGTAAGATATATTGACACTTCAACTGCCTTGTCATATATGAATTTTCCAATTCTTCGACCTCAAATGACTGTCAAAAGCCGCAGCATTTCGAAACTTCAGCGATACCACCACCTAACATTGTAAAGGCTATTTTGAAGGTCGTCTATTGAATCACCTCAATCTTTGAACGTTATATGAACGAAGTAGAGATTAGGGATATGCGCATCACCGAACTGTCAGATTGATTTCAGGCAGACAAGAATGCTAGCTGATTTGACGCTTGTCAACTGCTATTCAAGGACTGGGATGGATCCCAGAACTAGGGATCGTATACTTTTAGAGAGTGCTAAGAACAATCTTAGGTATAGTACATTGGCGGTATCGACTGTGAATTTTTTCAAGGTGGTTTACAGGAATATGGCTTTTTTTGGAGTAAAGGAAAGAATGGATGATAGCCAGATGATGTTTGAGCAATTATTCAATCTCAGGTAAGTTGTTTATGCAAGAGTAATCATTCCTTTAACGTTAGGCATCCAAGTTAGACAACTTCTAGTTTAACGTTCAGCTTCACCAAAAGACTGTCGGTGTGGTCCAGGAGCAAATCTAATGATACAGATGTGACCGCGGAACAGCTAAAGATTATCAGAGAACGTAATGAGTTGGATATTCAACTCTATGACTACGCTGTGAATTTATTTGAGCTTCGTTTAGCAGTTCTCATGAATCGATCTGTCCCATATGTGAGTTCCTGATTTTCTTGACTTAAATACCTTGTACACAACCGAGTAGATCTTCCGCTTAATATAATGCGCTTGCACTGCAGGTAAAATGAGGTAGAATTTGCGCGTGAACAAGCTGCAACGCTAGTAATGCAGGCAATTGCGCGCGCATTTGGCCTATGTCACAGGCTGGCTATTTCTTCACGCGCAAGTTTCACCGCATTTCACCTGCCGCAAGCACAGATATTACGCGGAAAACCTACTCGACTGTATTTATGTGAATTAACGATATTTTCCAAACAAGGCGGTAGCGCACTTAATAAAATACTGTAATCGACGAGATGATAAACCCAAACATCGCGTTGATAGAAGAAAAGTAATATCATTTTGTGCGATCCTGTCGTCTTAGCCTGTAGGCCTCATCACTCCTTATTATTGTAACACGCTTCGTTTACTTTCCTCTTCCAATCCCCTCTTTTTGGTTTCACTGTCATCATTGCTAAAATACGAAGCAACATGAAAGGACATGTTTTGAACGCTCATATAACATAACAGCAGTTTACGCGGTCTATAGAGTGACGATAATGACGATGACCGTGCATGTGCCCGATGTTATGTATACTTTAGTTATGCGAGTGCATCAATATTCAAAACAGCCATTGTGCTGCTGTTCTTACGAATGCCAACGAGCTTATAAACTACGGGTTTGTTTTCACTAAATTACAGATAGTTTCCTTTCAGAACGTACGAGCTGGTACGCGTTTCACTCCATTTGAATTCAAATCTACGCTGAACCATGTACCAGTGGAGTTCATTCGGGATAAGGATCCTCCACTAGATCATGTGCTTCGCATGTCAAAGAATAACGTCCTCAGGAACGCCGACTATGAGAGCGACTACGATGAAGCCCACGCTTCCGACGAAAATGCCAATATCGAATTTGAACGGGTCTGACGACATTGTAAGAGATTATCTTGCCAGTTCGTCACAAATTCAAGCACGCGTACTATTATCAATTCAATCTCAAAATCTCAACATATATCTAGTCTGTGCTGTATACGTTACTATTACCTTGTTCTCTATTGATGCTGGAAGAAAATGAATTTTATTTGCTGTAAGCAAATCATTCAAAATGCACTAGATCGCACTGACTTGAGCACTTCATGAAAGTTCAGTCATCTTGGCAGGATACAGGATACAAGGTCAAGGGCTAATGTCTTGTGAGTCTCTACTAAACACCAGCATATGATTATTCGCTGGCATATCGTGTCGAGCTACCAATGTCATACCGCAACTTGAGGCTAACTGAAAAAAAACAAAGCATTCAAGATCATTTACATAGGGGGTCTCTTACCCTAGATAAGTGACTAGTATCTCGTAATCCCCATTCAGGATTCTGACTTCGCAAACCAGCATCAAAATCGATGTTGCTCTGAGGAGAGATGACACCATCTACTGCGTATGGCCCGTAAGTTATGAGCAGACCACTACCTCTTTTCAGAAGCACACCCGCTGCCTAGAAAAAACTATTTTGATTCGTAAATCTAAAACTTGAGTCATACAAATGCTTGCTCACATTGAAAAGGCCTTCAACAGCGGCATCGCAGCTGATATGAATCATGTTACTATTGAGTATAACATCCACCGCTTGTGGACCGTAATCTCCCGGTAATGCCCAATGACTGACCGGTTTCGTTACATCAATAAACAACGGCACCCGAACATTACCAAGCTAAAATTCCACCTTCGAACATGAATGGTGAATTGCTTTAATACGGTCTTTTTTGAAAAAGCAGAATAAAACCAAAGATGTAGCAAAAAACCTACTCTATAATGGTCGATATAGGCAACAATACTGTGAAGAGACCGAGCATCAATTTCAGACGGTTGAAAAGTGACCCCAGGAAATTTTTCAGCAAATTTAATCACATGCTGTCCGGTTCCGGAAGCAATTTCTAGTAACTGCAATGGAGATGCTTTGATCATAGTGAGGAGTATTAGTATCCAACTGAGAATATTTTATTAAAAAGAGAAGGTCGAGAAAGAGTTGAAACAGAGCTATTCTGACATAAACTGAATAACTAATGATTAGTGAAAAATGGACTAGATCAGACTTTTGGATGAGTTGGGAAAAGCGAACTATTTTCGATATAAACTGCTAGTAACTGCCTCAAAGGTCAATGCTATCAACTTACTTTCATATCATCAGTTAGATATCTACGCAAAACATCAGATATGGGTCCAGCATTGCGTTCAGCAGCTGCAGCTCGTAACATCATAACAAGCTAGAAAAGTAAATAAATGTAGCAGTGTCAGAAACTCCATGCAGAAATGCGAGTTCGGCTGCCTGCTATATCAAGCGATTATACAACATGGAGCGATACGTTCGCAAACTAGATTCGTGGTATGGATGAGGCTAAATCGAGACCGCAAATGTATTCATGCTCCCTGCACTACAGGCACTCCACTTGCTGTGCATAACCTCTCGCTCATTACTGCATGTTGCGAAATGTCTCGCAGAAGCCACTTCGCATCAAGCAGACTTAGAGGCCGGCGGGCATGCAGAGTACAGCCCAGGACGATATTCACTTGTTCGGACGCATTCACATTCGTTTTTTGCTGGTAGGATCGGAGCGTGCAATTGAAGTAAGTTTTTAGGATACATGCAACAGAAAACCAAAACATACGATCACAAACGCTCGTGAAAACAACACGAGCGCAGCAAATACTCCGTTTGGCACTGTGACAGCTGCAATGAAACTAACAAGGCATCTGAAGTGAGAAGCGAACTGAGGCTAGTTTGTAGGTGATTCAGAAGCATAAACACCCAAAACTGTTATCATAATGACTGAACTCGTTGACATAATTTGTCAGATGTTTCCGCTTTTGAATTCCCTATCGACGAAGCTAAGATGCTTCTCATGTGACCATAAAAACTGCATTTCTCTGAACCAAATGGCTTAGACGATAATTACCCACTGGTCTGACTAGAACCATTCGCTCTTGCATGCTGTGTGGATAGACAATATGCGTAGATCTTTCTTATTCAAGATAACAACATGCTAAAACATAGGTTCACAACCGAAAACAGAACGACTGGTGCGTGACGTAAGATAAAGCATGAAGACATCAATTTGCTCAAAATAAGGAGGAATTAGTACCAGATAAGACAGTGACAAGCAGAAACTTGTATCGCAAGTTGAAAACTAAAAAAACACTGCCTCAAGCTGTCAGTAAGATGTAGTATGCTCTGTGGCAAGCGAAGTAGAGTCAAATTGTTTCACCATGCAAAAGCTAGTAGCCCAAATTTGACATACAACATGAAAGGGAACCCATTTCATATTACTATTGACACCAATCTTATTAGTTATCAGTGACGCATCCTATTTCAAGTAAAGGAATGCTGGTTACATCGTTGAACTACATCGAGTGGTTAAAACGCCCTCTTCAAAGGGTCATCACTAAAGCGCATCTGAGCAAACTTTTAGGCTTCAAGGTAAGTCATTCTTTACTTCGATTTAAAAAAATAACAAGATACAACAACAAAGTAAAAGAAAACCGGTTCAGATTTTTTCGGAAGTGATTGCCTCCTTGATCAGCATAAGCGTCGGCACTTCCTCGCCATCCACGTCCCGGTATTCAATAATCGCTACTTGACCGTCACCAGCCCCCTCAGCCATACGCTCACCTAAGTCAAAATAATCACTAATGAACATCACACAACACCGTCACACTTGCCAATGAAGAACTGCAGCGACTTCCAGCGTTTCTTGTCAAGCAAAGACATTACCCAAGCTTGAATCTTCTTCTTAAATGCATCCACCTCATCTTTCGATTTGCCATTTTTTTCCATGTATTCGACGACCTTTTTCATAAAAGACTTCACATAGGATTTGAAAGTGGCTGGATCTTCATAACAATTCATCTCCTTAAATAAGTAGCTAAAAGATGCTCCAAAACACATCCAAGACTTCCTACAACTGACTTACAACAAGCTTGTGGTTTAGAACGATGTCAATTCCGCGCTCGACATGCTCCTCGGATCCTTCATCGCCTTCTTCTCCCTCCGCCGACGGATTCGCCCCAGGAAGCATAATTTCACCCTCCTTACGAATAACATGCTTTCCTTTGAACTCGTAAATCAGATCATCCACAAGTTTCATGGGAAACGAGTCGGACGACAGTTCATCATCTTAATGGACATTAATTGACATAAGGAGGTAACTGGATTCATGTGCAAGGTCGCAAACGATCATGGACAAAAAGTCATAGATCAGTACGTTACGTCTTGGTGTTGATCTTCCACGGTTAGACTCGTTGAGTAACAATAAACTCAATGCCTTACGAAGAGCAAAACCTCAAGAACGCAAAACGCGTCCATCAGCGTCGCCGCCTCGCTCGAACACTGAGCTTGCTACGCAACTCAAGGATCGTGGACCAATTTTATTTGATAGTATGTATACTCACCAGTGAATACGTCCTTGAAAATCAGCATGGCTGCTGGAGTTGCCCAAGCTAAATGCTGATTGAGGTTGAAGAGCAGCACATATGAGTGTTTTGTGAAATATAACTGGACTAAACCTGATGGCCATGATAGAAATAAATAAGCACGAGGTAATAAACTTCATCAACAGTTTGGTCAACAACAAAGTCAACAAAATCAGTCAAACAATCCGAAGCCCAGATCTTCGTCCTCGGACTCCTCCTTGACCTCCTCCTTCTTGGTCTCGGCAGCGGCAGCAGCAGGAGCGGCTGAGCTGGCAGCGGGCGCAGCAGCAGCAGCAAACTTGCTCGGGTCGGCCAAGTATTCCTTGAGCTGCTCTGCCTCCTTGAAAGTGACGTCGGTAGCGGCTGCGATTCCAAGCATGTTCTGCAGCCCTCTGGCCAACGAATGAGCGACCGACACCATGGTCGGATACTTGATGGCAAGTGAGACGGCTGCAACGTTGCGAACTCCAGCCAGGAAGCGCTTGCGCAATTCGTCGGTGGTCATATCGAGCACTTCGGGTGAGTAAATGGTACCGTTGTCATAAACTTGCAGCACTACAAGACCGTACGAGAACGGTGTAACGCCAAGCATGTTGAGCAAAGCGGCTTCAGAAGCGCCAACCTTCTCGCCAACCTTGATCAGATGCACCTCATTCAAGATTTCTATGGTACCCCTGGCAATCTTGGTAGGAATCTGCAAAGCCTGGAAGAACGAGGTCTTCTCGGGCCCCATACCAGTGTTTTGCGGAGGCAGCTTCACATCGCAAGGAGCAATTGCACCAGCCTTCGCAGGAGCCCCCTAAATTTGCAATTAGAAAATGAAGTCACTGCAAATCAATAATAAAAAGAAAGCAATTACTTACTCTTCTGTTCTCTAACAGTTTGGTGCGAATTTCTCCCAAATCTTCCTTGGTGAAAACAAAGCCGACGTTCTGCACAATATACGGCAACAGCTTCTCGAGAGCCGGGTTTTTCGACAGATGTCCGCGAATGGCCTTACGAATCATGGTGTTCTTCCCCATGAGAATAACAGCATGGCCTGCACAAAATACTCGATATTTCGATATGAGAAATCTAAGTGCAAATCTCACCCCTCATTGCCTGTCGGATTTCTTGCATCTGCTTCGATCCAACGTTATCAACTCCAACAAGGAAGCATTTTGGATATTCATCGAACAGCTCAACAAGCTTTAGGAAATAGTTAGCTTTCCAGGTGGTTCTGTCTTCCCTAACCATCGTGGTGAATTAAGGATCGTGCGGTCACGTTTTAAAGACGAACTGAAAAGCGCTCACTTATTGACATAAAAAGTGAACAGAACACAACGTAACATAGAAAAATAAACATCCTCAGGCAACTCATCAGTTTAACTAGATTCTTAGCATTTGTTCTGAAAGTTGGAAATTCGAGTATGCTTTGCACACATAGTCTAAACAAGGAACTTCGTCTTACTTGATCCCACCACAGTATTCTTGAAGAAAGAATTGTAAACCTGTTAACCACACCATCAGGCGTGCCTAGACGATATGTGCAAAACTACTCGAGTAGCCCAGTTTCTATTGTACATAGCTCGGTAAATAAGGATAAAACGATAAAAACGACGCTGAAACTGATGGAGGGACATAAAATCTGGCTTAACCCAAGCCAACATAACAGTGAATAAGGAATTCCAAAATTTCCCAGAAACCACAATAATTCACCAAAACCTAGATGATTTAGGCGTGACGGCGAAATCTCCAACGACGAAAATACTTAATACGCAGCTTATGTGGCAGGAAGTCGACGCGCACCTCAAATATTGGCGCGCAATCAATTGGCAATTTTGCGATTTTTCAAAAAAGGATATTGCTGAAGCTGCTTAGAAGCTTACGCCTGGTTTGAAAATGAATTGAACTCCAAGTTTGTCGTTCGACGAAAATCACCTATAATATCTATTTAATATCTGATGACTATCTTATAAAAAACGTCTTTCTCGGGAGCCGTGTGAGCTGATCTCCGATGAGCACCGGACAAGCTTCGACTTTTTATTCACTCACTTTTCAAGAGATATCCGATGTAAAGAAGGCACACTGGATGTTTAGTCTCTAGGTGCCACATTGATTCACAAGTTTGTCGTCAAAAATGGGAATAGTTGTGAGAAAGTTAGGCGATGTGCTATCTCACGTACGCGAATCTACACACTAAAGTGTGTTCCACAAATGTTCGGTATCGTTCATAGTGACATTCATCACAAAGGAAGTTGTTGGATGATTACCAGGTGATGCAGATTACCACCTTTTCACACTTATTCTCTCCAGTGTGCATGCATAAAACTTTTTTTTGTGGTCCTGTTACTGCAGTTCATTCATGATCTCTCATAAATCGAACAACGGTGAAGGTTTCTAAGTGTTGGAAAGTATACTCCGGATCAAATCGAGAAATTGGGAAAGTGAGAAACCGCGGGCAGTCCCGAAGCGCGCGGATGCACTCTAGCACCTATAACTTGTTCGCTAGCTTAACACGTTGACGACCGTGTGCATCCGCGCATATGCACGCCCTGACCACCTTTTAGCACTTTCGTGCATCAATTTATCATGTGTAAATGAAAAGTTCTTAGGTAACTTCTATGCAGTGATAATACTGGTGGCATGGTTGCCATATTAAACAGACGGCATGCCGGTAGCTGTTAAAGAGTCTAAACCGCAGCCGTAGATCATCAGTCCATTTTGATGTGGTCAGAAATGGCTCTGTCGTCAACGTGTTAAATAAAATTTTCGAATCTATATATATATATAATTTATCTATCTAATAATATAATTATATGATTATATTCCACGTTCGACTATTTCTGAATCTTGGCATAGTGTCAATTACAGTATATGATGCTAAGCTTTCCAAGATTGGTAATTCCTTCCTTTACTGTTAGTAGCAGTCAACAATGGGTGTGGTGCAAGAGGAACGATAGCAGCCAGCCACTGGTGCCCGTGTACTATTTACCTTCACAATTCGCAAATTGCGAAATTATAACTATAGTAGATATGAAGTTGATGCTCTCAACTTACTTACTAAGTCTTGCTTAAGTACCGGTGGTATGTGCAACTCGGTAATTTTCTTGCAGGAATAAGCCCAAAATACTTGAAGTTTCATCTTAGAGACCTTTTTTGACATTTTCAGCTGATTTTCACACCCAATTTCCAAGCAAACACAATCTATACGATTCTCTTGTCTAGATGAAAACATAAAAGAAGGAAATGCTCTAAATTTCTGTGTGCAGATGGACAAAAATTACGGTGAAGTAGTCGCAAGTTATTGACACCCACCGCTATCTTCCTCTTGCTCGCCACCCGTCAACAATCAGTACGGTCTACGTTTCGGCGGAGATCGCCTTTGTCAAGACCTGGAAGTGAGTCAATGTATGCAGTAATCCACTCCAAGGGTAGACATACCTTCAACAATACTGTATGGTGTACGCCCACCACTCTGGCAACGTGTCAGACCACTCGCCGTTTAGTGTGATGGAATGAATTTCCTTGTATGGTCAGACTCGAATCCACACATTTGTAGGAAAGGGGCGAGTTCATTGTTGGCGGCCACCCTTTCTCCTTTCCTGTTTAGTTTAGGACATCTGCATGATATCCAACAAGCCTCTATGGCTTTTCGTGCAGCAATATTCGTTTCTTTGGAAGGAACAAATATTCTGATTACAAACGCCATGTCCTGGTGGGACAGTTTTCGATGCGTGCCCAAAGGCGTAGACACTCGCGATTTTCGCATTCCATCCAAATGTTCGTTTATTCTTAGGCACAACGGTCTTCCTGTTTCTCCAATATACTCTTCGCCACACCAAGTTATAGAAAATACAGTGCCTCGGCACATGCAGCTTTCCGGTTTATCGGAATTGCATACGATGCAGTCGGCCTTCACACACGTCTGATCATGACTTCTATTACACACCAGGAGCTGCTTTAGGTTCGGAGGCGAGATTTCGACAAGGTCTCAGCAAATTTTGCAGGCCGGATTTGTATATGCAACACCTAATCGCAGCGCTTAACTCATCAGATAGGTATAGAGGAATGGCACTTTATCGTTGCTATGGCTGACATCATTGAAAACTTTAGCATTACGACGATCGCTTTTACTTCTCCGCTGCAGGTGACCATTTGCTTGCGCGATTTGGAAAGCCTGCTCAAGTGATGCGAACCTGAGAACGTCATCAGAAGACATTCCTTTTGCTGTACGTAACGTGTTTCGGATAATGCTAATTTTCATTCGGATCGGGTGTGCAGAGGAGAATTGTACAAATATGTTTTTGTTGCTCGGTTTTCTGAACCAGCTGGTTTTGTATTCTTCTTTGTACAAGCATATATGGACATTTATAAAAGATAGCCATCCCTGCTTAGGCGTTTCTCTCTGAATTTGATGTCAGCCATTTGATTATTTGGTACTAGCTGGCTTACCCGGCTCCGCCGTATCCGGACCAAACTTGGCACACATACACTTCGGGCCCCGGCGGGTGTCACAGTCCACTTTTCGTTATCGATCGATGTCGATTTTACTGATTTTTATCGATTTTTTTGCAGAGTTCACCTACAGGGCTAGGAGTTGGCACAGGGGGGGGAAGTGAGCATGGGGATTCCGAATACAATATTAGTTTTCAGAATTATCGATTACTTTTATTGATTTTATCGATTTTTTGTAAATTTTGACATGCGAGGCTGGGATTTTGCACAGGGGGTAATCGAGCATGCTGATTACGAACACAATATTAGTTTTCAGGATCGTCCATTACTTTTATCGATTTTATCGATTTTTTTGTAAAGTTTGACCTGCGGGGCTGGGAGTTTGCACAGGGGGGTAACAGCATGCTGATCACCCCCCTTGGGGGTGATCAGCATGCTCGATTACCCCCCTGTGCCAACTCCCAGCCCCCTAGCTCAAACTTTGCAAAAAAAATCGATAAAATCGATAAAAGTAATCGATAATCCCGAAAACCAATATTGTATTCGGAATCCCCATGCTCGATTACCCCCCCCCCCCCCCTGTGCCAACTCCTAGCCCCGTAGGTGAACTCAGCAAAAAAATCGATAAAAATCGATATCGATCGATGACGAAAAGTAGCCTATGACACCCGCCGGGGCCCGAAGTGTATGTGTGCCAAGTTTGGTCCGGATCGGTTCAGAAATGGAATTTTCTATTCGGAACATACGTACATACATACATACATACAGACAGACAGACATACAGACAAACAGACATTTAGCTTTATATATAAGATGTCAAAACATAGATCGATTTCCGCTTGCATGGGGCAGACGATGAGTCTGTCATCGATATACCTCAAGTAAAGGATAGGTTTGCAGTTGAAAATGGGTTCTTCTATTTTCGACATAAATGCAATTGCTAAGATAGGTGCCAAACGTTGGCCTATTGCGAGCCCGCGGACTTGTTTGTAATACTGCCCCGACCATTTGAAAATCGAACATTCTAAGCATTCCTTCACCAATATCATGACTTGTTGGATATTAAAGCCGTAGAAATTGATGCTGTTGCTTTTCTCGGTCAGTACTTTGAAAACAGGTAAAGCATCCGAGTTCGAAACGTTTGTGAAGAGCGAAGTGATTTCAAAAGATTCATGAAGTCGTTCTCACCGGATTTAGTATTTTTTAAATGGTCAAGCAGGGCATTTGTGTTGGCTAAGTGCGCGGGGATGTATGGTAGTAGTTGCGTTAAGATCAGATTGAGCAACCACGATATCCTGTGCGTACCATCGACGTTGCTTATGATCGGGCGGACTTTGTAGTCAGGCGGATTTCGTAAATTAAGTAGGTCAGATGGTAATTTGTGTGCTTTTTTGAGGACTATAGCGCAGGACAGAGTGTTAAATCAATCTTTAGGCGGGATACGGTTTGCTTAGGAAGACCTGCTGCTCGCGCTATCTGATCCAGAGTCCCTTCAGTTTATAATGCTTTGTGAATTCTTTTTCAGAAGAACGCAATATGTTGTTTTGTCTTGGAGATATTGCTGCGTTATGGCAATCTCCAGTTATTTCGGTATGACTATGAATTCACCTCCTTTATCTGTGAAAATTCTTTTCTACAAATGTGTGGATTCGAGTCTGACCATACAAGGAAATTCATTCCATCACACTAAACGGCGAGTGGTCTGACACGTTGCCAGAGTGGTGGACGTACACCATACACCATTGTTGAAGGTATGTCTACCTTTGGAGAAAATTACTGCACACATTGATTCGCTTCCAGGTCTTGACAAAGGCGATCTCCGCCGAAATGTAGGCCGTACTGATTGTTGACTCTTACTAACAATGAAGGGAGGAATTACCAATTTTGGAAAGCTCAGCATCATATACCGTAATTGACACTATGCCAAGATTGAAATAGTCGAACGTAGAATATCATGCGTTATATACCAGCAAAATATT